TTCTTTCGTTATGTTTAATAATTGCAGGTAATTTAGGTAGGAATTTTGTTGAGCGTCACAAATCGTTATTGAGTTGCGCAATGAGAATTTTGCCACCCTTTTAAAGCCTTTTAACTTTATGGGTTCTTAGAAAACCACTCATCGTCATTATTAACATTCATTTAATGTTTTTCTTAACTCCAACACGGTATTTCTAAATCAGGAATTTTCATAGATCAGAATACGATAGTCTGTTTTCCCAGGCATCAACTATCATAACCTTGTACTGTCATGCTGGTCTTGGACTTCGGCAATGAAAAAGAAAGAAAGGCTCAGAAAGATGGGTCCCAGAAGTAGCCCAGGAAAACATAGTTATCAAGGTTAAAGCCATCACAAAGAAAGAAGTATCTTGTTATGTGATAAACTTAGAACCCGAATACTAACCATACCATGGGGTCAGTATGGTCGCTTGAAGGGAGGGAAATGGTATGGGTGTGTTCATTTTGCAGGAAGACACCCATATCTACTTTGGGTAAAGTGAGGAGCCATTTTCCTGAGACTAGGGGTAGATGGGAGCTATATGGACGACGGCACTGGGCTGAGAGCTTAGATATCCTGTCCCTGCTGACTCCTGACCTGCAGCCTAGCTTCCTCTTCCCCTCTCACCAGACTCCCTCCCTTCTTTGGAGCAGGTGACACAAAGGATGTTTTTTGTTTTGTTTTTTTTGACACAGAGTCTTGCTTTGTTGCCCAAGCTGGAGGGCAGTGGTATGATCACAGCTCACCTTAACTTCGACCTTAAGGTTCAAGAGACTCTCTTGTCTCAGTCTCCAGAGTAGCTGGTACCACAAACATGGGCCACCATACCTGGCTAATTATTTTTTGTAGAATGAGATCTCACTATATTGCCCAGGCTGGTCTCAAACTCTTGGCCTCAAGCAGTTCTCCTGCCTCAGACTCCCAAAGTGCTGGGATTACAGGCGTGAGCCACCACAGATTTTTATTAGCATCAGTAAAAGAATAAATTTGATAAATTAAAATTTTTGGCCAGGGGTGGTGGCTCACACCTGTAATCCCATCACTTTGGGAAGCCAAGGCAGGTGGATCACCTGATGTCAGGAGTTCAAGACCAGCCTGACCAACATGGCAAAACCCTCTACTAAAAATGCAAAAATTAGCTGGGGGTGGTGGTGCACTCCTGTAATCTCAGCTACTCTCGGGAGGCTAAGGCACAAGAATCGCTTGAACCCAGGAGGCAGAGTTTGCACTGATCCGAAACTGCACCACTGTACTCCAGCCTGGGTGACAGGGTGAGACTCCATCTCCAAAAATGAAAAGAATTCATCCACATTGACAAGAAGAACCATAAGAACATCGCCTTTTTGTCTCATGTTTTTAAAAAAGACAGATTTTTCACATGCCAGACCATTGGGCTAAAAGTAAATAAGACAAATTTCATATGTAAAATGTGACGGTTAATTTTAATTGTCAATTTGACTGGATTAAGGAATACCTAGAAACCTGGTAAAGCTATTTTGTGGTGTATCTGTATGGGTGTTTCCAGAGATTAGTGTGTGAGTCCAGGTGGGTTAGGTACGGAAGATCCGCCCTCAGTGTGCCAGGTACCATCCAGTCTGCTGGGGAGCCGAGGAAGAACAGAAGCAGAGAAAAGGTTTATGTGCCAAAGCTGGATACATACACTCTTATGTCAGTTTATGTGCCAAAGCTGGATACATACACTCTTCCTCTATTGTTTTTGGACAACAACCCCAAGGTGCTCAGCCTTTGGACTCCTGGATTTACACCAGCAGCACCCCACCCCCACCCCTTCCTCCTGGTTCTCAGGCCTTGACCTTGGACTGAGTTACATCATTGCCTTCCCTAGTTCTGAACCTTGGGCCTTGGACCAAGCTACTAACATCTCAGGGCCTTCACTTTGCAGATGGCCTGTCAAGGGGCTTAGTCTTCAAAATTGCAGGAGCCAATTCCCTGATAAATCCCAATGTGATAGTTCTTACCTCACAGGCTTGCTTCTTTAGTTTCGTTTCGTTTTGCTCTGTTGTCCCAACTGTAGTGCAGTGGCTAACTGCAGTCTCAGATTTCTGGGCTCTGGTGATCCTCCCAACTCAGCCTCCTGAGTAGCTAGGATTACAGGTACACACCACCATGCCCAGCTACTTTTTATTTTTATTTTTTATTTTATTTATTTATTTTTTTTAGACAGAGTCTTGCTCTGTCACCAGGCGCCAGGCTGGAGTGCAGTGGCACAATACCAGCTCACTGCAATCTCTGCCTCCTGGGTTCAAGCAATTCTCCTGTCTCAGCCTCCCGAGTAGCTGGGACTACAGGCACACGCCACCACGCCTAGCTAATTTTTGTGTTTTTTAATAGAGATGGGGTTTCACCATGTTGGCCAGGATGATCTCCATCTCTTGACCTCGTGATCTGCCTGCCTTGGCCTCCCAAAGTGCTAGGATTACAAGCATGAGCCACCATGCCCAGCCTTTTTATTTTTTGAGATAGAGTCTTACTCTGTCACCCAGGCTGGAGTACAGTTGCACCATCTCAGCTCACTGCAACCTCTAGCTGGAACCACAGGTGTGAGCCACCACACCTAGGTAATTTTTATATTTTTAGTAGAGACAGAGCTTTGCCATGTTGGCCAAGCTGGTCTTGAACTCCTGGCCTCAGGTGACCCACCCATGTCGGCCTCCTAAAGTGCTGGGATTACAGGCATGAGCCACCACACTTACCTACTTGTTAAATTTTTTGTAGAGGCAGGGTCTTACTGTATTGCCCTGGCTAATCTCAAACACCTAGCCTCAAGTGATCTTCCCACCTGAGCCTCTCAAAGTGTTGGGATTACAGGCACGAGCCACTTAACCAACTTGGAGAACTTGGGAAATAAGATGTGGTGGGTCCTTGCCACTGTGAGCCAGATCTGGGTCAGAACTTGTATGTATGACCTGGCCCTTATATACACCCACTCTAATAGGATAGTAAGGGGTCAGGCGCGGTGGTTCACACCTGTAGTCTCAGCACTTTGGGAGGCCAAGGTGGGCGGATCACCCGTTAGGAGTTTGAGACCAGCCTGACCAACATCGTGAAACCCTGTTTCTACTAAAAATACAAAAACTAGCCGGGCATGGTGGCTGGCGCATGCCTGTAATCCCAGCTACTTGGGAGGCTGAGGCAAAAGAATGGCTTGAACCTGGGAGGCAAAGGTTGTAGTGAGCCGAGATTGCGCCACTGCACTCCAGCCTGGGTGACAGAGTGAGACAGAGTGAGACTCCGTCTCAAAAACAAAAAAACGATATTATAATACTTTGGATAACAATGTGAATTTGGACCCTGTGTCCCACAGGTCTCAAAATATTTGGTTATTCCACTTTTCCCAGTCTATAGTTACCAGAGCAAATGACAGGTCCCTTTGGAGAAGTATTAAGGGAACCATTAACAAATACTAACAAAAACAGGTCAAGCATGGTGGCTCACGTCTGTAATTCCAACACTTTGGGAGGCCAAGATGGGTGGATTATGAGGTCAGGAGTTCGAGACCAGCCTGGCCAACATGGTAAAACCCTGTTTCTACTAGATATACAAAAATTAGCCAGTCGTAGTGGCACATGCCTATAATCCCAGCTACTCGGGAGGCTGAGGCAGGAGAATTGCTTGAACCCTGGAGGTGGAGGTAGCAATGACCTGACTGTGCCATTGCACTCTAGCCTAGGCAACACAAGCAAGACTCCATCTCAAAAAAAAAAAAAAAAAAAAAAAAGGTCTTGGGGACACAAGGTGATATTTACTTGCAGTTACTGTTTTCTTATCTCAGTATTCCTTTTTTTTTTTTTTTTTTAAGACAGAGTCTCGCTCTGTTGCCCAGGCTGGAGTGCAGTAAGTCTCAGGTTACTGCAACCTCTGCCTTCTGGGTTCAAGCAGTTCTCTGCCTCAGCCTCCCAAGTAGCTGGGAGTACAGGTGCACACCACCACACCTGGCTAATTTTTGTATTTAAAGGTGAGGTCTCACCATGTTGCTCAGGCTGGTCTCGAACTCCTGGGCTCAAGCAGTCCACCTGGCTCAGCCTCCCAAAGTGCTAAGATTACAGGCATGAAACACCGTGTCTAACCTTTCCTTTTTTGGGCGGTCACCTTAATTCCTCAAACACTTTTGAACAATATCCCTATATTTTTTGTTTAACTGGTATAATTTCTGTTTTCCTGACCAGTCCCTAAGCAATATTGCCAGTCAGTAATGACAAAATGGCTAGTTAATGTCCTTTGCTATTCCTCTATTTATCAGAAACTAACATATGTAATAGGACTAATCTCTTGTAACTCAGTTCCAAGAGGTGTTCAAGGAAGTTGTTCTTGAATAAGGAAGGTGGTGTTTAAACCAAACATTTCCCAAAAACATTGTCTATTTTTGTTTTGTTTTGTTTTTTTGAGACGGAGTTTCACTCTTTTTGTACAGGCTGGAGTGCAACGGTGCAATCTCAGCTCACCATAGCCTCTGCCTCCTGGGTTCAAGCAATTCTCCTGCCTCAGCCTCCCGAGTAGCTGGGATTACAGACATGCACCACCACACCTGGATAATTTTGGTTTTTTAGTAGAGATGGAGTTTCTCCATGTTGGTCAGGCTGGTCTCGAACTCCCACCCTCAGGTGACCCTCCAGACTTGGCTTCCCAAAGTGCTGGGATTCCAGGTGTGAGCTACCGCTCCTAGCCTTGTTTTGTTTTTGAGATGGGGTCTCACTAATTGCCCGGGCTGGTTTTGAACTCCTGGCCTCAAGTGATTCTCCCTCCTAGGTCTTCCAAAGTGCTGGCATTACAGGCATGAGCCACCACATACATTGAATATGGTAGAGAGAAAAGGTGCCAGTAATACAATTATGTTAACTTTTAAAACTAACTTTATTTCAGGAAAAAATATATATATGATGTTGGGGTAAAGATCATATCGTGTGGTTAAAATTCATCCTATATTTGTTTTGATTGGCGGAGTGACTAAAAATGCTGTTACTGTGCTCACTTCAGCAGCACATATACTAAAATTGGAACAACACAGAGAAGATTAGCTTGGTCCCTCTGCAAGAATGACATTCAAATTTGTGAAGTGTTCCATATTTTTATAAAAATAAAAGAAAAAAATGCTGTTACTACTAGAAATCATTGCCATCTCTATCTACTTGAAGACTTTATGGTTCTTTTCAGTCTACAGGTTTCTGAAGAGTGAGCAAAATCTATAAATAGTGTGATTCTAAGTGGAAGTCAATCAGAAGGATTTCATTTGGAAAGATCACAGAGGCAGAAATAAAAAAGTACAGATAAAATGCTTTATTATGGAAGATTTCAAACATTCACAAAAATTAGATATAATTATGAAGAACCCCCCTGTACCATCATTCAGTTCATTGATTATCAATATATGCTTTAATTTTGTTTCATCCACTCTATCCCCAACACCTATTGGGTTATTTTAAAGCAAAGCACAGACATCATATTTCGTCTGTAAATACTTCTGTATAAATATCTGAGATAAAGATTGTAGGTATCACTATACCTACAATTTTTAAAAAAATTTTAAACTTTTAATTTTTTTTTTAAGAGACAGCATCTCACTCTGTTGCCCAGGATAGAGTGCAGTGGTACTACTCTAGCTCATTGGAGACTCCAACTCCTAGATCCAAGTGATCCTCCCATCTCAGCCTCCCAAAGTACTGGGATTACAGGCATAAGCCCACTGTACCCAGCCTTTACTGTTTCTTAAAATCATCTAGTATCCAGCTTTCAAATTTTTTAGTCTCATGTATGTGTTTTTGTATTTCGTTTGTGCAAAACAAAATAAAAAAGTCTTTTACATCTTTTAAATCTACAACAGTCTCCCCCTTCCCTTTTTTTTTTTTTTTTTTGAGACAGAGTTTCACTCTTGTTACCCAGACTGGAGTGCAACGGCACAATCTCGGCTCACAGCAACCTCTGCCTCCTGGGTTCAAGCAATTCTCCTGCCTCAGCCTCCTGAGTAGCTGGGACTACAGGTGCGTGCCACCAAGCTCAGCTAATTTTTGTTATTTTTAGTAGAGACGGGGTTTCACCATGTTGTCCAGGAGGGTCTCGATCTCTTGACTGCATGATCCACCCACCTTGGCCTCCCAAACTGCTGGGATTATAGGCGTGAGCCACCGCGCCCGGCCTCCCCTTCCTTTTTGACTTGATATTTACTAATTGAAGAAACTGGGTCACTTGTCCTATAGAATTTCCCATAATCTGGACTTGGCAGATAGTATCCCCTTGGTGTTATTTAACATGTTCTTTTCTTTTTGGTGTTGAGTCAGGGTTTCACTCTGTCACCCAGGCTGGAGTGCAGTGGCATGATCACAGCACACTGCAATCTCAAACTTCCTGGGATCAAGTCATCCTCTTGCCTCAGCCTCCCTCCTAGCTGGGACTACTGGTGTGTACCACCATGCGCAGCTAATTGTTTTGTTCTTTTCTTTTCTATAATTTTTTTTTTTTTTAAGATGGGGTTTCACCGTGACGGCCAGGCTGGTCATGAACTCCTGACCTTAGGTGATCCACCCACCTCGGCCTCCCAAAGTGCTAGAATTACAGGTGTGAGCCACCGCGCCCGGCCGCTAATTGTTTTAATTTTTTGTAGATAAGGGGTCTCACTATGTTGCCCAGGCTGGTCTCAAACTCCTGGCCTCAAGCGATCCTCCTGCCTCAGCATCCCAAAGTGTTAGGATTTCAGGCATGAGCTACTGAAATGTGAAAATGTGCTTTAAAGAAAACCTTACTGGAACTATTTAAGTTTGTTTGTTTGTTTGTTTTTTAAAGATGGGGTTTCACCAAGTTGGTCAGGCTGGTCTTGAACCCCTGACCTTAGGTGATCCGCCCGCCTTGGCCTCCAAAGTGTTTGGATTACAGGTGTGAGCCACCACACTGGGCCAGAAAGATTTAAAGAAGAGCAATAATTGTGTATTTGAAAGTAATTGATACAGAAATGCCATGCAGCTACAGAACCACCTCAATCTACAAGTACATCATGTGTTGTACTGCAAAAATGTTTGACAAAACTTGTAGCTGATTTCTTTTTTTTTTTTTTTTTTTGCCCATGAAGCATTTTATTTGTAAATATATGTATTACATCCCTAGAAAAAGAATTCCAGGATTTTCCCTCCTGTGTGTTTTCGTTTCGCTTCTTCATGGTCCATGATGCCAGCTGAGGTTGTCAGTACAATGAAACCAAACTGGCAGGACGGAAGCAGATTATTCTGCCATTTTTCTAGAGCTTTGAGTTGCACATCAAATCTGGGGCTGATCATGCCACACTTGTTTAGCCTGCCTGTGAGGTTCACAACAATTTTCCCAGCTCTGTGATCGTCAATGATTTCAAATTCACCAATGTAACAATGCTTCATCATCACAGTGAGAAACCGGACAATGACTTTGGAAGATGGCCTAATAAGCACCTGGCATTTGCCTCTCTTTTCCGCATTGTTGATGCTCTTGAGAGCATCAGCCAGGCTATTCATGTGCACCATTACGGCAACATGGAAAGATGGTGGAAAGAGCGTACCTGATGATTTCAATTTACTCCGCAAAGTATCTAGACTGCAATGAACCAAGCAAGGGGAGAAAATAATCATACATACACAACAGCTGGAATATTGCTTTAAATGTAAATATAAAACTATTCTACACTCACCTTCTTTTTTTTTTTTTGAGACGGAGTTTCGCTCTTGTTCCCCAGGCTGGAGTGCAATGGCGCGATCTCGGCTCACTGCAACCTCCACCTCCTGGGTTCAAGCAATTCTGCCTCAGCCTCCTGAGTAGCTGGGATTACAGGCATGTGCCACCATGCCCAGCTAATTTTTTGTATTTTTAGTAGAGACGGGGTTTCACCATGTTGACCAGGATGGTCTCGATCTGTCGACCTCGTGATCCACCCGCCTCGGCCTCCCAAAGTGCTGGGATTACAGGCTTGAGCCACCGCGCCCGGCTTACACTCACCTTCTAATGGCTTTCCTTCACCTTCTAATGGCTTTCCTTCATGCCTAGAATACAATCAAAAATTGGAAGCATACTACGGCTTCCATGGCACTAGGTTAAAGCTCTACCCACCTCTCTGATCTTAATTCCTACCACTTTCCCCCTCTCTCTGTGCTCCAAACTCCTTGCTCTTCCTAAAGCATGCCAAGATTGTTCCTGCCTGGGGCCTCTGCAATTGTTCCATACATCAGAAGGTCATTTCCTCCCAAGTAATCAGAATTCAGGTCCTCACTTAATTTTAGGCCTTTATTCAGCGTCATCCTCTCAGAGCCCCTCCTGACCACCCTATGTAAAACAGCACCCTACCTTATTCCTCCTTCTTCCTCTCTTTACCCTGCTTTACTGTCTAGTCTGCGGGACATGTAACAAGCTGCCATTGTACTATATGCTAATTGGTTTCTTTCCCCCACTAGAATATAAGCTCCGTGACAGGGAAGACTTTCGTTCACTTCTCCAGCATCTAGTAGGTGCCACACAAATATCTGACTACATTTAATCCACAGTTTCATTTACCGTTCCCAAACTGTATTAAATAGTACTAGTATTGCTATCCTCACTTTAGTTTGCAGGAAACTATTGGCGTACAAATCTTAAGACCTGAGAACAAACAAACTGAGGGAACAGGAAGTCTGGACTTCATGACTGATCACTGAAATAAGTAAATCAAAGCGAAGGCGCGTCTGTTTAGTATGTAATAAGAGAAACCCAAACCATTCGAGAAACCAATTAAAATGTGGACTTCTCAGGAAGAAGGCCGATCGAAATGCTGCTGGATAACTGAGTCTCTTTTCTAATGACAGGACCTTATGTTGCCCTCACAATGACCCAATGAGGTAGGTACGGCAGGCTTTGTATTAATGAGCAGGACGCTGACTGACAGGCTTCGCAGCTAGGAGCGAGGCCTTGTCTGAGTCCGGACTCACGGGTTTTGGACAGTTACATAATTAATACTCAAACTGTGGACCTTCCTGCTGCACCCCGCCCCTCCGGCGGGGCTCACGTGGCAGGTCTCACGTGACAGGCCTCCCAACCGGAAGCGGACACCAGGAGAACCAGGGCAGTTGGTTAATCCAGGAGCAGTTCCAGCGCGGGACGTGGGCTGAGCATTCACTGAGTATTACGCAAAGCGCGCGAGCGCGCGGAAAAGGCGATTGGTCGGTGTGAGCAGAGAGGTATGTCCTGGCGGGCCCGCATCTCCTCCGATTGGCTGACAGGCTGACGGGAACGTTTACAGTCAGCCCTACGCAGGGTGATCGTGCGTCAGCCTTGTGCAACCCGGAAGGGATGAGGGGGCGTGTCTGGCTGCGCAGGGGGCCAGCCGATTGGCTGGAAGACTAAGGAGCCGGGGCGGCCGTGCCCGACCAGAGGAGGGCGGTGCCGCTGGGTAGGTCCGGGAGGTGACGACCGGCTTCGGAGAGTCTGTCATGGCAGCTCGGACTGGTCAGACGGCCTTGAGAAGGGTGGTCTCAGGATGTCGTCCGAAGTCAGCGACGGCGCCCGGCACTCCCGCTCCGGTGCACGTGCGGAACGGCAGGTAATGAACAGCGAGGGTGCTGCTACAAGAGTAGTTTTCCACTCTGGTTGCCGAGTTGGGGGACCGGAAGGATTTGGGGGCGAGGCACAGCCGGACTCGGTGCATTTACGTATCTTTAGAGGAGAAGGCTCTTTTGCGTTTGGCATTTGAGGGATCAGGAGCCGCGCGCATCAGCGTGGGCGCAAGGCGGCTGTATTCGTGGTTCGTTTCCCTCGCGACAGGCAATGAATTTTCGGCGAAGCGACTTTGGAAGCAGTTTGGCCATTGGTGCCTTGGTGCTCTTCCGGTCTCCTCCCCTCTAGCCTGTTGCTACTGCTGTTGGAAAGTTTTGATTTTGCGCAGAAGGGTTGCTGACTTCTGGCTGTATGGGAGTTTGGTTTGGCGGTGAGCCCCAGTCTCTGGTTCCTTCTGCCTGCCAGATGGTCAGATTCCCTTTTCCCGGTTTCTGATAGAGTGCTTTGCCATCGCTATTTAGTGCTTACAAAAGTAAATATAGCCAACACAAGGAATTTGGAATTTTTCACTCTGCTGTGACTTACAGGTCCTGTAACCTTGAATCGTAGTCTGCTTTCGATTTTCCTGGTTGGTTCATTTTTTGGTAGGTGGGACTGGAGGTGGAAGTCGGGACTTGGATACCATTCTTGTACGACTTAGTTTCTTTTTACTAGTAACATTGTAATATTCTTGAAAATTAAACTTAGTGTGTTTAAAATGAATTCAGATGTACAAAGTACGAAGTGAGGAGAGAAAACAAATCTGGTTGAGCCCCAGGACATTTAGATTAAATGAAGATCCAACCCTCCTGGAATCGAAGAAATAAAAACATTAAAAAAAAAAAAAATTCAGGCCGGGCGCGGTGGCTCAAGCCTGTAATCCCAGCACTTTGGGAGGCCGAGGCGGGTGGATCACGAGGTCAAAAGATCGAGACCATCCTGGTCAACATGGTGAAACCCCGTCTCTACTAAAAATAAAAAAAAATTGCCGGGCGCGGTGGCTCAAGCCTGTAATCCCAGCACTTTGGGAGGCCGAGGCGGCTGGATCACGAGGTCGAGAGATCGAGACCATCCTGGTCAACATGGTGAAACCCCGTCTCTACTAAAAGTGCAAAAAATTAGCTGGGCATGGTGGCGCGTGCCTGTAATCCCAGCTACTCAGGAGGCTGAGGCAGGAGAATTGCCTGAACCCAGGAGGCGGAGGTTGCGGTGAGCCGAGATCGCGCCATTGCACTCCAGCCTGGGTAACAAGAGTGAAACTCCGTCTCAAAAAAAAAAAAAAAAAAAAAAAAAAATTCAGTGAAGAGTTTTTAAAAATAACAATAACCTTACCAAATCCAAATTCCTTTAGACAAATGTTGGATGAGACAAATAAAATCATAAATTTGCTCCTGGTTTAGGAAATAACCTCAAAAAGTAATTTCAAGCGCCGGGCGCGGTGGCTCAAGCCTGTAATCCCAGCAATTTGGGAGGCCGAGGCGGGTGGATCACGAGGTCGAGAGATCGAGACCATCCTGGTCAACATGGTGAAACCCCGTCTCTACTTAAAGTGCAAAACATTAGCTGGGCATGCTGGCGCGTGCCTGTAATCCCAGCTACTCAGGAGGCTGAGGCAGGAGAATTGCCTGACCCCAGGAGGCGGAGGTTGCGGTGAGCCGAGATCGCGCCATTGCACTCCAGCCTGGGTAACAAGGGCGAAACTCCGTCTCAAAAAAAAAAAAAAAAAAAAAAAAGTAATTTCAAGCAGAATAAACCCATCATACTTTAGATCTGTTTGTATTACTCTTATAAAATGTCTTTCAAATAAACAAAACTTTACTTTTGAGAAAAATACAGTTGCTTTAGTGATTAAATTGAGGGTTCAGTTCAAGATAGGTACTGTTTATAATGAGGGAGGCAGTTTGAGTTCATTTCCAGTGTTAAGCATCAGATTCTGACCTTTATTATACTTAAGCATTTGAGAGAGTAGTACTGGAAGACGAGTGACAAAAAAATTGTCCTCCATGTGGTCCAGTGGTCCAGTATTGATGTCTTGCTATAACTGTGTATATGAATATGTGTCTCCTCATATCGTGGTTTAAGACATGGTATTCCTGACAGTGCATGAAAATAGATAACACTGTCCAGGGCACTGCAACTATAGCATGCAAATTGATCAGAAAATTTCCTATTAGTTTGCTTTAAAGACAGGTGTTTTCCTTAGGATTTTTATCAGATTGTGTAAGGGTATTTTTTTTGGGAGGCAGGGAGGCAATACATGAACCTTTGTACCAGGTTCATGTATTGACTGTCAGTAAATACATAAACCTTTATATACAGTAAAAAGTCAACTGGATACCCAGTTCACCTCTTTAGAAGCAAAGGTCTTATCTTTTTTCAAGTAAAGGTTTCAGCACTATTCACAGTAGCCAAGATACGGAATCAACAGGTGTCCAACAACAGATGCATGGGATTGGGTGCAGTGGCTCACGCCTATAATTCCAGCACTTTGGGAGGCTGAGGCAGAAGAATTGCCTGAAGTTATGAAACCTGCCTGAGCAACGTGGCAAAACCTTGTCTCTACCAAAAAATATATGTGTGTGTGTATATACACATACATATATAGAAAAATTAGCTCTGTGTGTGTATGTATGTGTATATACATACATGTATGTAGAAAAATTAACTGGCTGTGTGGTAGTGCAGGCTTGTGGTTCCAGCTGCTCAGGAGGCTGAGGTGAAAGGATCGTTTGAGCCCAGGAGGTTGAAACTGCAGTGAGCCTTCATTGCGCCACTGCACTCATGCCTGGGCAACAGAGCCAGACCCTGTCTCAAAAAAATGAAACAAACAAGGCTGGACACAGTGGCTCAGACCTGTAATCCCAAGAATTTGGGAGGCTGAGGCAGGAGGATCACTTAAACTCAGGAGTTTGAGATCGGCCTGGGCAACATAGGAAGACCTCACTTCTACGTATAAGTAAAAAATTGGCAGGGCTTGGTGGCATGTGCCTGTGGTTCCAGCTACTAGGGACCTGAGGTGGGAGAATTGCTGGAGCGCAGGCAGTAGAGGCTGTGGTGAGTCGTGACTGTGCCACTGCACTCCAGTCTGCATGACAGAGTGAGGCCCTGACTCAAACACAACAACAACAACAAAACAGGTGAATGAAGAAAATGTGGTATATATATTAATATACGATGGGAATACTATTCAGCCATAAAAAAAGAATGAAATCCTGTTATTTGCAGCAACATGGATGGACTTGGAGGACATTTTGTTAAGTGAAACAAGCCAGGAACAGAAAGTTAGACATTGCGAGTTCTCTCTCATATGTGGAAGCTAAAAAAAGTTGATCTCGCCGGGCGTGGTGGCTCAAGCCTGTAATCCCAGCACTTTGGGAGGCTGAGGCGGGTGGATCACGAGGTTGAGAGATCGAGACCATCCTGGTCAACATGGTGAAACCCCGTCTCTACTAAAAGTGCAAAAAATTAGCTGGGCATGGTGGCACGTGCCTGTAATCCCAGCTACTCAGGAGGCTGAGCAGGAGAATTGCCTGAGCCCAGGAGGCGGAGGTTGCGGTGAGCCGAGATCGCGCCATTGCACTCCAGCCTGGGTAACAAGGGCGAAACTCCGTCTCAAAAAAAAAAAAAAGTTGATCTCATAGAAGTAAAAAAGTAGAACAGAGGATACTAAAGATTGGGAAAGCTGGGAGGAATAGGGAGAGATTTGTTAAAGGATACAAAATTAATGCTAGATAGGAGGAATATGTTTCTAGTGTCCTGTACCCACAGTTCCCAACCTTTTTGGCACCAGAGACCAGTTTCGTGGAAGACAATTTTTCCACAAATGGGGGTGGTGGTGGGAGATGGTTTCAGGATGAAACTGTTTCACCTGAGCTCATCAGGCATTAGTTAGATTCTCATAAGGAGCAAACAACCTAGATTCCTCGCATGCACAGTTCACAGTAGAGTTCTGACTCATATGAGAATCTGATGCTACCACTGATCTTACAGGAGGCGGAACTCAGGCTGTAATGCTCACCTCCTGCTGTGCAGCCTGGTTGCTAACAGACCTGGGTGCTGGGGACTTGTCTTCTATACCACTGTAAGATGACTATAGTTAACACTAATAGATAGTTTCAGATAGCTAGAAGGAGGATTCTGAATGTTCCCAATGCAAAGAAATGATGAATGTTTGAGATGATGGATTACCTGATCTGATTATTATATAATTACCCTGATCTGATCACTATACATCGTATGTATTGAAACATAGAATTATGCTCTTACTGTTATTATAAAATCAACTACTACTTGTGGTGTCCCAGAAAATTTAGAATTCACAAAGCCATCTTGCTTTTTTATATTTTCATGCTTGAAGTGTTACTTATAGCTGAAAATAATAAGAATCTTAGAATCTTAAAAGGGCCTAATAAGTTCACCTATATACAGTTTATGTTTCTTTTCCATTACATTTTAACAAATAGTCATGAAGTATTTAGCTAAAGTAAATTCATTGACCTCTATTTGATTTTCTGTGTAATAAGCCTGTTTAATTTTTATAAACAGCTGCAAAGTTCTTTATTGTATTTTAGAGCCCAAATTTGTCTCCCTCTAATTGAGATTTTGTTTTACACTTTGGAGTCATATTTCTTTTTCTTGGAGACAGAGTTTTGCTTTGTTGCGCAGGCTGAAGTGCAGTGGAGTTATCTTGGCTCACTGCAACCTCCGCCTCCTGGGTTCAAGCAATTCTTGTGCCTCAGCCTCTTGAGTAGCTGGAATTGCAGATGCCTGCCACCACCTCTGGCTGATTTTTTAGTATTTTAGTAGAGACAGGGTTTCACCATCTTGCCCAGGTTGGTATTGAACTCCTGAGCTCAGGCGTTTTGCCTGTCAGCCTCCCAAACTGCCAGGATTACAGGCTTGAGCCACAGCACCTGGCCTTTTTCTCTTTTTTTTTGAGATGGAGGGTTGCTGTCACCCAGGCTGGAGTTCAGTGGTGTGGTCTAGATATGTATATGTATTCATATATATAAATAAATGGAGTGAGGCATTAAATCCTACTAATGCCTATGTGTATTCGCATGTATGTACACACACATAGTTATTATGGGTGTACATACCTCTTTTCTCTCTTTGCATGGCTAACTCCTTGTCCATTATTTATCAGCCGAAATCTCTTAAGGGATTCCTAGGTCAGCCTGTCTAAATGAGGTCCTAATTACACCCCCCACCCCCATTTCTTCTTCATTATTTTCTTGAATCTTCAACTAGAATGCAATCTTCATAAGGCTTATGTTTGTTCTAGTCACCATTATATCCTCATTACCTAGCATAGTCTGAGACAGAATAGGAGCTCAGTAAGTGTGTGGATAACTTAAATTGAATAATCCTGGCCAACAATGACTAGCAATGACTAATAGTGTCAAATACTTATGTAATAATCTTTTTTTTTTTTTTTTTTTACTGAGACGAAGTCTCGCTCTGTCACCCAGGCTGGAGTTCAGTGGTGTGATCTCAGCTCACTGCAGCATCTGCCTCCTGGGTTCAAGTGATTCTCCTGCCTCAACCTCCTGAGTAACTAGGACTACAGGCACTTGCCACCATGCTCAGCTAATTTTTGTATCTTTAGTAGAGACTATCAGGAGATAGTCTCCATCTCCTGTCCTTGTGATCCTCCTGCCTCAGCCTCCGAAAGTGCTGGTATTACAGGCATGAGCCATCACACCCAGTCAGTTATAATAATCTTATTAGAAAAAGTTTAAAATACTTATGTAGCATATATTAGGCATTTGTACATAGAACTTCAAACAATAACATTCTAGTTAACTAGACATTTTTACATATATGCATTGACATGGAGACTGGGAGGTAAAGGAGAACAGAGCAGCAGTTGGTTTTTGTTGGGACAGAGTCTTACCCAGGCTGCAGTGCCTTGGTGTCTTCATAGCTCATTGCAACCTCAAACTCCTGGATTCAAGTGATCCTGCTGCCTCAGCTTCCTGAGTAACGGGAAGTACAGGCATATGGTACCATGCCCGGCTCATTTTTTTTTTTTTTTTTTTTTTTTGTGGAGACAGGCTCACTATGTTGCTCAGGCTGGTCACAAACTCTTGGCCTCAAGGGATTCTCATGCATCAGCCTACCAAAGCACTGAGATTACAGGATTGAGCCACCATACTTGGCATCAGTACTGACAGGAGCACCAGATTTCTGCTAAAAGATTTGAGACCTAATTTTAAGTCTCACTGGGGTGGATCAAGAATTAAGAAATATCTATGGATCCAGCTGGGAAAACAACATGGGTAGATAACACAAATTGGACAGTAGATTTGTATATATAGCAAAGCTTATGGCAATAGTAAATTGTAACACATGACTACAGAGAGAAAGCCAACTTTCTGAGAGAGATACCTTTTATGCCAGAAGCTTCTAACCTAACTAAGCTGTTTTTTAGGGTTTTCTTTTTTACAGTGCTTAAGAAGCTTAAGAAGCTATACTTTTCCTGTGTATATTATGTGTGTATTTTTTTCAGGAACATTCTGAAGTTGAAAAGCCTTCTGAAGTGTGATAATTACTTTACAGTCTCTGTAATTTGTGCCTACTCTTAATTTTTGCTATCACTCTAAGTCAGGTAATTTATTTGTCTTTTCAGATATTTATCTTCTTGTGGTGTACTGATGAGCAGAACTCTTCCACTACATACCTCAGTTTTGCCTAAGGAAATATGTGCAAGAACTTTCTTCAAAATTGCTGCACCATTAATAAACAAAAGGAAAGAATATTCAGAAAGAAGAATTTTAGGGTTTGTATATGATAAGAATTCTACTAAAAGAACATGTTCATAATTTTCTGTGGGATATCCTGCCTCTTTTGTTCTGGATTATCTTCTTACAGACTATGTTTTTTCTAGGTTGGCCTTTTTCTTTTTTCTTTTTCTTTCTTTTTTTTTTTTTTTGAGACGGAGTTTCGCCCTTGTTACCCAGGCTGGAGTGCAATGGCGCGATCTCGGCTCACCGCAACCTCCGCCTCCTGGGCTCAGGCAATTCTCCTGCTTCAGCCTCCTGAGTAGCTGGGATTACAGGCACGTGCCACCATGCCCCGCTAATGTTTTGCACTTTTAGTAGAGACGGGGTTTCACCATGTTGACCAGGATGGTCTCGATCTCTCGACCTCGTGATCCACCCGCCTCGGCCTCCCAAAGTGCTGGGATTACAGGCTTGAGCCACCGTGCCCGGCCTTTTTTCTTTTTTGTTTGCTTTGAGACGGAGTCTTGCTCTGTCACCCAGGAGTGCAGTGGTGCAATCTTGGCTCACTGCAACCTCCACCTCCTGGGTTCAAGCGATTTTCCTGCCCCAGCCTCCTGAGTAGCAGGCATATGCCACCATGCCTGGCTAATTTTTGTATTTTTAGTAGAGATGGAGTTTCACTACGTTGGCCAGTCTGGTCTCCAACTCCTGACCTTGTGATCCACCTGCCTCGGCTGCCCAAAGTTCTGGTTACAGGTGTGAGCCACCGCTCTGAGCCTAGGTTAGCCTTTTTCATAGCCTTTGCTATTTTACAAATATTTATTGAATGAATATAATTCTATAGGAACTTTTTAATATAGACTTAAATCTTTGACATGTAAAGAGAATTATGATCTACATTTTTTGTACATTGTTCTTTTCTATTGTAGCAGCATTACTGATACATTGGGCCATATGTTTAGATAGCTTCCTCATGTACAGACATACATAGATAAGTACATACATACTAAAGCTCCTCATCTAGAGCCTTTGGCAAACTGTTTCTGTAAAGGGACAAAAAGTAACTATATTAGGTTTTGTGGGCCCTAGAGACTGCTCAGCCACATCACTGTAGTCCAAAGGCCAATATAGATAATATGTAAATAAGTGGGTATGGCCACATTCCAGTAAAACTTTATTTACAAAAACAGGTGATGGACCAGGTTTGGCTGCTGATCTAGGGGTAAATAGAGCAGATGATAAAAACACTACAGTTCTGCTAAACCAGAAAATACACCATCCTTCCTTAGAGGAATTTCTACAAGTGGCTCTTAATTCCCAATTGGCCATTAAGTATTATTACATGAAGCTTTGTAAAAGTGCATTTCATTAATTTTACTCATTAGCTTTTGTTCTTCTTATTTTTCTATAGTAAAAGACTTAACAGTGTTGTTCATTAAGTTTGACTTTATTACTAACTAGTCTCTGTAATAGTTAAGGTAATGCTAACAGCCGTATAGATAATACCCAAGAGTTTTTTTCTCATGTAGAGTTCAAATGGGTGTTCCCTCTACTCCAGTCCAAGTAGTAACTCAGAAACCCAGGCTCCATCCCACTTTTGACCTCTGCAGTTAGTCTTCAGAGTGTTAATCACATTGGTCTGGAGTTGACACACAACACCTCCTCCCAGATATTACTAGCAAAGGCTAGTTGTGACCCCATCTAAACGCAAGGGGAATGGGGACAGGGAATGAGGACTGGGAATTGTTGCTCCTGATGGGCAGGTACTTTTTAGCAACAGCACCATGTAAAAGGAGTGCAAATCTGGATAGAAATCATTGCCACAGGTATTATCTGTTAAAAAGAGAAACCTAAAATGCAATTAAAAAAAAAAAAAGGAAAAAAAAAAAAGATGGTATGAGGCTACCACTTTCTCTGATTAACCAGACTATTCCAGGGTCTTGATGTTTCAAATTATTGCCAATTTAATTTTTATTAACTGTTTGCAAATCTCAACTGCTGCCAGAACAGAGAAATCAATATGGACAGTGAATAAATTCATGTGTGAGAACCTCCAAAAAAAAAAAAAAGAGAAATGACGATTGGGCGCAGTGGCTCACGCCTGTAATCCCAGCCCTTTGGGAGGCTGAGGTGGGCAGATCACGAGGTCAAGAGATCGAGACAATCCTGGACAACATGGTGAAACCCTGTCTCTACTAAAAATACAAAAATTAGCTGGGCATGGTGGCACATGCCTTTAGTCCCAGCTACTCGGGAGGCTGAGGTGGAAGAATCTCTTGAACCTGGGAGGCAGAGGTTGCAGTGAGCCAAGATTGTGCCACTGTGCTCTAGCCTAGTGACGGAGCAAGACTCCGTTTCAAAAAAAAAAGAAAAAAAAGAGAGAGAAATGGCAACTAAAAAAATAATGATTTAGTCTGCTTTACTTTGTGTGTGTGTGTGTGTGTGTGTGTGTGTGTGTGAGAGAGAGAGAGAGAGAGAGAGAGAGAGAGAGGGAAGGAGGGAGGGAGAGGATACAGGGTCTCACTCTGTAGCTCAGGCTGGAGTGCGGTGGCGTGATCTCCGCTCACTGCAACTTCCGTCTCCTGGGTTGAAGCAAATCTCATGTCTCAGCCTCCGAGTAGCTGGAATTGCAGGCATGTGCCACTACACCTGGCTGATTTTTGTATCTTTAGTAGAGATGAGGTTTCACCATGTCGGCCAGGCTGGCCTCAAACTCCTGACCTTAGGTGATCTGTGATCTGCCTGCCTCAGCTTCCCCAGCCACTGTGCCTAACCATACTCTCAATTTTTAAATTCTGGCTAATAAAATTTTAAAAACTACCTCTTTAGATCAGTTTTAACCTGTGAGATACCAAATTATGATCTCTGCCATATATATGTTTATTTAGAGACCTTTGATTTTCTCTGTTGCTTTGAAGTCATTGATTGCAGAATGTGGTTCAACATAAGTATTGAGATTTGTTTATCATACACAGTAAGTTTTATTCATATTCACTTTAAAGTATGCATATACTATATAATTAAATGGAGTTAACACCTCTTTTTTTTTTTTTTTTTTTTTAAGATATTCAATGCAGGAAATGTATGATGTAGTATCGGGTATGGAGGATTACAAGCATTTCGTTCCTTGGTGCAAAAAATCAGATGTTTTATTAAAGAGATCTGGATATTGTAAAACACGATTAGAAATTGGATTTCCACCTGTATTGGAGCGATACACATCAGTAGTAACCTTGGTGAAGCCTCATTTAGTAAAGGTAATAGTTTTGTTTTTTGTCATTTTTAAATATTCCTCCAAATATTAACTCTGTCAAATGGGTTAAAATGTAATAGCCTAAAAAAATTTGTTTGAGCTAATAGGAAGAGGGGAAAAAAATTGTTTATTATGTCTCCTCTGTTACTTTATACAATATTAGCATTATTCCTCCCAAATAGAAGTTAGAATATAATATGGAAATGGGAAACTTTTCCCTTTTTTTCCCCTTCTGTTGAGGACTACTGACCCACAGGACAGTTCAGTTGGGCCACCTAAGTGGGAAATGTTTTCATTTAATTTTTGCCCTGTTTTGAAATATGAATTAAATACTTTAGCATTGGGGGAAGAATAAATTTGTTTACTAAATATATGTTTTTTAAAATTAAGGAATGGTGGGTAAGAGGGAGGGAAAAAAAAGTGGTGAGAGGATAAAGAAAGGTAGAAAAGATATAGGCCAGGCACAGTGGCTCACGCCTGTAATCCCAGCACTTTGGGAGGCCAAGGTGGACAGATCATGAGGTCAGGAGTTCAAGACCAGCCTGACCAACGTGGTAAAACCCCATCTCTACTAAAAAACAAAAATTAGCCAGGCGTGGTGGCGCATGCCTCTAATCCTAGCCACTCAGTAGGCTGAGGCAGGAGAATTGTTTGAACCTGGGAGGCAGAAGTTGCAGTGAGCTGAGATCATGATCATGCCACTGTATTCTACCCTGAGTGACAGAGTGAGACTCTGTCTCAAAAAAAAAAAAAAAAGGTATGTCAAGAGGCTAAGATGAGAACCCAAGAAGTTGAGGCTGAAGAGAGCTGTGATTTTGCCACTGCACTTCAGCCTGGGCAACAGAGTGAGACCCTGTGTCAAAAAAAATAAAAATGAAAAGAAAAGATATAAATATAAAAATATTAGGCCGGGCGCGGTGGCTCAAGCCTGTAATCCCAGCACTTTGGGAGGCCGAGGCGGGTGGATCACGAGGTCAAGAGATCGAGACCATCCTGGTCAACATGGTGAAACCCCGTCTCTACTAAAAATACTAAAAATTAGCTGGGCATGGTGGCGTGTGCCTGTAATCTCAGCTACTCAGGAGGCTGAGGCAGGAGAATTGCCTGAACCCAGGAGGCGGAGGTTGCGGTGAGCCGAGATCGCGCCATTGCACTCCAGCCTGGGCAACAAGAGCGAAACTCCGTCTCAAAAAAAAAAAAAAAAAAAAAAAATATTGTCAGGGTCTGGTGGCTCACACCTATAATCCTAGCACTTTGGGAGGCCGAGGCAGGTGGATCACCAGAGGTCAGGAGTTCGAGATCAGCCTGGCCAACATAGTGAAACCCCATCTGTACTAAAACTCAAAGAAATTAGCCATGTGTGGTAGCAGGTACCTGCAGTTTCAGCTGCTTAGGAGTCTGAGGCAGGAGAATCACTCGAACCCGGGAGGCAGAGGTTGCAGTGAGCCGAGATCACACCACTGCACTCCAGTCTGCGTGACAAGAATGAAATGCCATCTCAAAAAAAAAAAAATTGGCTGGGCTTGGTGGCTCACACCTGTAATCCCAGCACTTTGGGAGGCCGAGGTGGGTGGATCACAAGGTCAGGAGTTCACGACCAGCCTGGCCAACATGGTGAAATCCTGTCCCTAATAAAAATATAAAAATTAGCCGGGCATGGTGGCAGGTGTCTGGAATCTCAGCTCCTCGGGGGGCTGAGAGTCAGAGGCAGAGAATTGCTTGAACCCAGGAGGTGGCGGTTGTGGTGAGCCAAGATTTCGCCACTGCATTCCAGCCTGGGCAACAGAGTGAGACTCTGTCTCAAAAAATATATATGTATAAATATTGTTGAGGTTATCCTGCCAAGTACTGGGTGCTGAAATGCCAAGTACTCTTACATTATGTTAATCATCTTATGTTTGTTCAGAGGAGGATATTTGTGTAGAAAAGGGTACCAGCCTTAAAAACAAAAAGGCAGAATTCCATGGAATAATGCATATTTATCTTACATTCCTATTTTGGAGTGGCCAAAGATCTTTAAAGCTGAGTTACTTTGCCCACAGGATTTAATGATGATGTCATTTCTTGTTAACTGGCCAGAGCTAAATACCTTAGTCAGCTCTGTGTTAGACATTGAAGGGGGTGCAGCTCTCAGTGTGCTCTTTCTGGTGCAGCGAGAAAGAGAACACTGTCACTGTTCAGTGAGGCTAAGACCCTAGAGTCTGCCCTCTTCTTAGCCTCAAAACTTGAATTCCACTTAAAATGCTGTGGACTAGGATTTCGCTGTTATTACAAATGTTTTCACCTGCTTGCCTCATTGTTTTATAGTTTTTAAACTACTGTCTCTCATAATAGCCAACATTTATTGAGCCCTCTTACTGCTTTACTTGAATTACTCAAGTTTTCACAACAGCCCTTTGAGCTTCAAGGGTTATTTATTTTAGAGTTGAGCAAACTGAGGCTTAGAAGAGATAGAGAACTTGCTCAAGGTTGCAGAGCCAAGACTCCAGGTGTCTGACACCAGTGAATATTTCTATAATCTTAATTTTTTTTTTCTATTTCCTGAGCTCAGTTTAACATTCAGTCTCTTAGAACTTAAATCTTAATATATTACGCTGCTTCTAACTAAAAGAACTCTAAATAAATCTCTTTTCTTCCTCACTCTCTACCTTTCTTCCCTCCTCTGCCTTGTTTTTTGTTTGTTTTTGTTTTGAGACAGAGTCTTGCTCTGTTGCCCAGGCTGGAGTGCAGCAGCGCAATCTCAGCTCACTGCAACCTCTGCCTCCCAGGTTCAAGTGATTCTCCTGACTTAGTCTCCCAAGTAGCTGGGATTACAGGCTTGCACCACCATGCCTGGCTGATTTTTGTATTTTTAGTAGAGATGGGGTTTCTCCATATTGGCCAGGTTGGTCTTGAACTCCTGACCTCAGGTGATGGCTTGGCCTCCCAAAGTACTAGGATTACAGGTGTGAACCACTACACCCATGCTGTCTCCTCTGCCTTCTTAAAACCTACAGGGTAAACTAGGTGTGGTAGCATGCACCTGTAATCCCAACTACTCAGGAGGCTGAAGCAGAAGGATTGTTTGAGCCCAGGAGTTGGAGGTTGTAATGTACAATGATCATGCCTGTGAACAGCTACTGCATTCCAGCCTGGGCAATATAGCCAGTAAGACTTTGTCTCTGAAAAACAAACGAACAGGCTAGGTGCGGTGGCTTATGCCTGTAATCCCAGCACTTTGGGAGGCCAAGACAGGTGGATCACCTGATGTCAGGAGTTCCAAGACCAGCCTGGTCAATATGATGAAACCCCATCTCTACTAAAAATTATAAAAATTAGCCTGGTATGGTGGTGCACACCTGTAATCCCAGCTACTCAGGAGGCTGAGGCAGGAGAATCACTTGTTGCCCAGGCTGGAGTGCAGTGGTGTCTGGGCTAGGTTCTGGATTTTATTTATTTACTATTATTATTTATTATTATTATTATTATTAAGGTGGAGTTTCCATCTTACTGCCTAGGCTGGAGTGCAATAGCGTGATTTCAGCTCACTGCAACCTCTGCCTCCCGGGTTCAAGAGATTCTCTTGCCTCAGCCTCCCGAGTAGTTGGGACTACAGGCATGCATCACCACATCCGGGTAATTTTTTTGTGTTTAGTAGAGAAGGGGTTTATCTATGTTGGTCAGGCTGGTCTTGACCTCCTGACTTCAGGTGATCCACCCGCCTTGGCCTCCCAAAGTCTTGGGATTATAAGCGTGAGCCACTGTGCCTGGCCAGGTTCTGAATTTTAATATCCAATAGACAATATAGCAAAAATTATTATTATTTACCCAGTACTATAAAAATTATTAGAAGAACAGAAGTCATGTGACATTTTCTGTGAATTATTAGCTGACCAAAACATGCCTGTCACTTAATATGTCAGTAATTCTAGTCTACACAAATTTTTAATGGCCAGAAGCCCTTGAATATTTTTAGAGAGGCAACAGTTCAGTGAATCCTACTGCCTAGTTCATGATACAAACATTTTGTGTAGATTAATTTATATAATGGTCTATGTCAGCTCACCCAGAACAGCCTGTAGTAGGTCATCATCATGACAGCTTCTACTGTTTAGTATCTCTGCTCTTAGAAATGAGGTCTTTGGCAATACTGTTCCTGTCAAAACATAACAGTAAAAATCCATGCATCCTTGAGCTAGATAATTGGAGTGAGTAAAATATTGCCAGATTTGCATAAAAATGAGAAGAAGGTGCTATGTTAATAGTGACTACTCCCAAAACCTGTTTCTCCTTTAGTATTAAATTTCCTATAAACTTCTTAAATGATTGTAAAAAAGGGAAGAATGTATTATCCTAAAGTTGGGCAACTGAAATAACAAGATTTCATTATATACTCTTGATGCTCTTAAAAATTACTTGTGCCAGGTGCGGTGGCTCAAGCCTGTAATCCCAGCACTTTGGGAGGCCAAGGCGGGTGGATCATGAGGTCAAGAGATCAAGACCGTCCTGGTCAACATGGTGAAACCCCGTCTCTACTAAAAATACAAAAAAATTAGCTGGGCATGGTGGCGCGTGCCTGTAATCCCAGCTACTCAGGAAGCTGAGGAAGGAGAATTGCCTGAACCCAGGAGGCGGGGGTTGCAGTGAGCTGAGATTGCGCCATTGCACTCCAGCCTGGGTAACAAGAGCGAAACTCCGTCTAAAAAAAAAAAAAAATTACTTGTGCCCTTCAGGAATACTCTGGATTATTTGTGCAGGTGAGGTGGCTTATGCCTGTAATTCTAGCACTTTGGGAGGCCAAGGCAGAAGGTTCTCTTAGCCCAGGAGTTCAATACCAGCCTGGGCAACATAGGGAGAACCCAGCTCTACAAAAAATTTTAAAAATTACCTGGGCATGGTGTCACACACCTATGGTCCCAGTTACTTGGAAGGCTGAGATAGGAAACCAGATAAAAAGCTGAGTGCCACTCAAGGTCATAACCAGCATAATCAGTCCTAACAGTAAACTGTTAACTATGGTTCTGGTTACTATTTTCACATTGCAGATGGCAACTCTTTCATGGGTCTCAATTTTTTTTTTTTTTAAGACAGTGTCTCTAGGCCGGGCACAGTGCCTTATGTCTGTAATCCTAGCACTTTGGGAAGCCAAAGCAGATGGATCACTTGAGGTCAGGACTTCAAGACCAACCTAACATGGCAAAACCCTGTCTCTACAGAAAATAGAAAAATTAGCCGGGCGCGGTGGCTCAAGCCTGTAATCCCAGCACTTGGGGAGGCCAAGGCGGGTAGATCACGAGGTCAAGAGATCGAGACCATCCTGGTCAACATGGTGAAACCCCGTCTCTACTAAAAATACAAAAATTAGCTGGGCATGGTGGTGCACGCCTGTAGTCCCAGCTACTCGGGAGGCTGAGGCAGGAGAATTGCTTGAACCCAGGAGACGGAGGTTGCGGTGAGCCGAGATCGCGCCACTGCACTCCAGCTTGGATAACAAGGGTGAAACTCCGTCTCAAAAAAAAAAAAAAAAAGAAGAAAAGAAAAATTAGCTGGATGTGGTGGTGGGCGCCTGTAATCCCAACTACTCAGGAGGCTGAGGCAGGAGAATCACTTGAACCCGGGAGGCAGGGGTTTCAGGGAGCCAAGATACGCCGTTGCACTCCAGCCTGGGCAACAAGAGCAAAACTCCATCTCAAAAAAAAAAAAAAAAAAAAAAAAAAATGACAGTGTCTCATTCTGTCGCCCAGGCTGGAGTTCAGTGGCATAATTATAGCTTACTGGTGCCTCAGTCTCTTGGCCTCAAGCAGTTTCCTCACCTCAGCCTCCTGGGTACCTGGGACTACACCTGGCTAATTTTTAAATTTTTTCAGAGTTAGAGAATCTCGTTCTGTTGCCCAGGCTGGAGTGCAGTGGCATAATCATTGCTCATTGCAACCTTGAACCCTTTAGCTCAAGTGATCCTCCCACCTTGGCCTCCCAAAGTGATGGGATTACAGGTGTGAGCCACCGCATCCAGCCACAATAAGTATTTTTTTTTTTTTTTAGTGATACAAAATGGGAAATACCAAGATGCTCTGCACATAGTATGGTTAAGTAATGTGATTCAGTGTGTACATCCTGAATATAAAATATACATGTGCACTGGAAAAAATCATAAAGAAATGGATCAGAGCCAAGGGCCAGGACTACACATTTAAGGAAACTAGATAGAGGCCTCTAGTAATAAGGAGCAGATTGAAGGAAAGACTGTACCTGATTAATAAGAGACCAGTCTTTGAGTAGGAGAGAATTACGTAATTGTGCTAGGAATCTGTACCAGGTACCTTATTAACATTTCAGCAATCTCATGATACAAAGTAGGTATTATTTTACAGATTAAGGAAATAGTGTACGGGAGTTAACTTGTTCATGATCACTTACATGTGGCAGAACTGGAAATAAAGCTTCCAAAAAACTCCCTGTTTTGCTGCTAGAGGAAGGAAATCTAAGTGGCAAAGCAGGTGTTAGCAATGGAAAAGAAAACAACTGGCAATCTTGGCGATCTCTGCAGAAAGAAAAAATGGCTAGTATTGGCAAGATATATTACTTCCTAGTACCAAGCAAGAATTAGGTATCTTTATCTCCTATGATCTGATTATTACTTATGAAAGAAATGAACCTTAATCATATAGAGTCTTAGATTCTGGCCAGGAGCAAAGTTATTTAACTGTGGTTTTATTTTTTCATTTTGTTCTAGGCATCTTGTACTGATGGGAGACTTTTCAAGCACTTGGAGACTATTTGGCGTTTTAGCCCAGGTCTTCCTGGCTACCCAAGAACATGTACCTTGGATTTTTCAGTAAGTCTCTGTAAAGCCCTTGATTTGTTCCACATATGAGGTAAAGTTGGTAAAAATGTAATTATTTTCTAGAACACAGAGGCCATAATTACATTGAATACCTTTTTCTGCATAAATGCTAGTGAGCATTTCTTTTTTATTCTATTTCATGCAACCTTCAATATTCTTTCATTCTCTTTTGTTTTTTACAAATCTATAGATTATAAGACTCATGTCATGACTTTACTACCAGCTTAATAACAGTTTTGAACTTGATAATAGTTTTAAATTAACACCAAATGAAAGAACACATTGCATATTCGATGCAGAAGTAGGCTAGGTACAGTAGCCCATGCCTGGAATCCCAGCACTTGGGAATCTGAGGCAGGAGGATTGCTTGAGGCCAGGAGTTTGAGACCAGCTTGGAGACAGTGAGACTTTGTCTCTACTAAAAATAAGATAAGGCCTCTGTAGTGGTACCCACCAGTAGTCCAACTGCATGAGTCCAAGGGTTCCAGCTTGCAGTGAACTAGGATCATGTCACTGCTCTCCATCCTGGGTATCAAGAGTGAGACCCTGTCTTGAAAAAATTTAATTTAATTTAAAAACAAAGATGCGTGCTCCTCTGCCTATGGAGTAGCCATTCTTTTGTTCCTTTATTTTTCTAATGAGCTTGCTTTCACTTTAATAAAAATATAAATAAAAGGTGCAGAAATAAAGTACAAAGGGGAAAATACGTTTTTTGAATCTAGAGTCTGGTAACTTTCTTTTCTTTCCTTTTTTTTTTCTTTGAGATGGAGTCTCACCTTGTCACTCAGGTTGGAGTCCAGTGGTGTAGTATTGACTCACTGCAACCTCTGCTTCCCTGTCTCAAGCAATCGTCCACCTCCACCTCCCAAGTTGCTGGGACTACAGGAGTGCACTACCACACAGGCTTATTTTTGTATTTTTTGTAAAGACAGGGTTTCACCATGTTGCCCAGGCTTGTCTCCAATTCCTGGGCGCAGGAGATCTGCCTACTTCAGCCTCCCAAAGTGCTGGAATTACAGGCATGAGCCACTGCACCCGGCCTAGTAACTTTCTTTTTCATATTATCTTAGTTATAGACAACTTAAAACCATTTGTGGCTTTTTCTTTGCCAACAGGTAATATGGGAGTTGTTCTCTGTACATGCAACTCAGGCATTGAATTTTAAGAAATGGTGACAATTTTGACTAAATTATTGTGTGCTATTCTCAGGTCTGGAGTAATTCTCATTAAAGCATTATAGACAATACTAGAACAGTTAGGCTCAAGCACAGTGGCTCACACCTGTAATCCCAGCACTTTGGGAGGCCGAGGCAGGTGGTTCACTTTGAGTTCAGAAGTTCAAGACCAGTCTGGCCAACATGGCAAAAACCCATCTCTACTGAAAAATACAAAAATTAGCTGGGTATGATGGCATGTTCCTGTAGTCCCAGCTACTCAGGAGGCTGAGGCAGGAGAATCACTTGAACTCGGGAGGCAGACATTGCAGTGATCTGAGATCATGCCACTGCACTCCAACCTGGGTGACAGAGTAAGACATTGTCTCCAAAAAAAATAAAGGCCAGGCCAGGCACAGTGGCTCACGCCTGTAATCCCAGCACTTTGGGAAGCTGAGGCGGGCGGATCACGAGGTCAGATCGAGACTATCCTGGCTAACACGGTGAAAACATATCTCTATTAAAAATACAAAAAATTAGCCAGGTGTGATGGCACATGCCTGTAGTCCCAGCTACTTGGGAGGTTGAGGCAGGAAAATCACTTGAATCCAGGAGGCAGAGGTTGCAGTGAGCTAATATCGTGCCACTGCCCTCCAGCCTAGGTGACAGAGCAAGATTCTGCCTCAAAAAAAAAAAACCAGGACAATGGGGAAAATTTGAATAAGGTCTATGTAAATTAGATAATAGCATTATTATCTAGTAGTAATAACTCCGTTTGTTAATTTCCTGATTTTGAGAATTGCACTATGGTTATTTAAGACATTAAAATAGGGAAATTTGGGTAATGGGTACATAGAAATCTTTGTACTGTTTTTGTTGCTTTTTGTTTTACAAAAATGAAATTATTTCATAATGCAAAGTAAATATTTTAAGATTTAGAGGATATTTGGTCCTTAAAACACAGTTCTCAAACCAATTGTCTTCAGTTTTTTTTTTTTTTTTTTTTTTTTTTTTTTGAGACGGAGTTTTATTCCTGTTGCCCAGACTGGAGTGCAATGGCGTGATCTCAGCTCACCACAACCTCTGCCTCCCGGGTTCAAGCAGTTCTCCTGACTCAGCCTTCCAAGTAGCTGGGATTATAGGCATGTGCCACCACACCTGGCTAATTTTGTATTTTTAGTAGAGATGGAGTTTCTCTATGTTGGTCAGGCTGGTCTCAAACTCCTGACCTCAGGTGATCTGCCTACCTCAGCCTCCTAAAGTGCCGGGATTACAGGCATGAGCCACCATGCTCAGCCCATCTTGAATTCTGTATAGAACAACGAAAGGGTATAAATAAAATCCTAAAAGGGTGTCCAAGGGAGATAATACAGTCATGGGTTCTTAGTTTCTGTTTTTGGTTGGGCCTGTAAAGTGACTTTCTCATCCCTCTTTTTCTGCTCATCACTCGAGACAGAAACTAAAAACCATGACTTCAGGCTGTTAAAAGCCTAAAACAACAACAAAATAAGGCGAGTTGGACACGCTACAAAAAGATCGCAACACTGCACTCCAACCTGGGCAACAGAGTGAGACTTCATCTCAAAAGAAAAAAAGAAACTTTCTGGCTGGGTGCAGTGGCTCATGCCTGTAATCCCAACACTTTGGGAGGCTGACATGGGCAGATCACATGAACCCCGGAGTTTGAAACCAGCCTGGGCAACATGGCAAAAACCCTTCTCTAAAAAAAAAAAAATTAGCCATGTGTGGTGGCATGTGCCTGTAGTCCCAGCTACTTTGGAGACAGAGGTGGGAGAACCCAGGTGGTGGAGGCTGCCGTCAACCGTGATTATGCCACTGCACTACAGCCTGGGCAACAAAGCGAGACTCTGTCTCTAGGAAAACAAAAAACAAAAATGCAAAAAATAATTTGTTCTAAAATAATTTTCAATATTTTTCTACAGATTTCTTTTGAATTTCGATCACTTCTACATTCTCAGCTTGCCACATTGTTTTTTGATGAAGTTGTAAAGCAGATGGTAGCTGCCTTTGAAAGAAGAGCATGTAAGCTGTATGGTCCAGAAACAAATATACCTCGGGAGTTAATGCTTCATGAAGTCCATCACACATAAATGGAAAAAACAACTGGTGTCACCTGCTTCTAGCTTTAGTTTGTTCACTTTTACGAAGTATTTTCATATGTTTTTTTGGAAGCCAGAAGGCATTGTTTAAACGCAGCTTTGGTTATAAACCTGCACCATTGAAACTTTGCACATAGAATATAGACTCTTACATTCTTCAATCAAGTATAATTCAAAGTAATACAGACATTATTATGTTCTGAATTTACAATAATGGGATGTCGTCACCGTTGCTAGAATACTGACATGATTCTTCTGAGCAGAAGTTGAAACTGTAAATTTAAACCTTTTAATTATCACCTTACTGTAAGAAAGAGGTTAGTTAAGATATTCACGCAGTATGTATTGTATTAACCATATCATACTTAAGTTATTAAATTCAGACTATTTGTAACTTATTGTTATAGGGCCTACTGGCTTAGGATATTTGAGTAATCATGTATTTAAAGTAAAAACTTTGGGCTGGGTGCGATGGCTTACGCCTGTAATCCCAGCACTTTGGGAGGCAGAGACAGGCAGATCACTTGAGGTCAAGAGTTTGAGACCAGGCCTCTCAACATGATGAAACCCCATCAATACTAAAAATAGAAAAATTAACTGGGTATGGTGGCACGCACCTATAATCCCAGTTACTTAGGAGGCTGAGGCACAAGAATTGCTTGAACCCAGGAAGGGGAGGTTACATTGAGCCGAGATTGCACCACTGGACTCCACCCTGGGTATTTTTGACTTAAAAAAACTGTTTATTGGCCAGGTGCAATGGCTCATACCTGTAATCCCAGCACTTTGGAAGGCCAAGGCAGGCAGATCACTTGAGCTCAAAAGTTTGAGAGCAGCCTGACCAACGTGGCGAAACCCAGTCTCTACTAGAAATTTAAAAATTAGCTGGGCTTGGTGGCAGGCCGCTATAAAAAATCCCAACTACTTGGGAGGCTGAGGCAGGAGAATTGCTTGAATCCTGCAGGCAGAGGTTGCAGTGAGCCAAGATCGCCCTGCTGCACTCCAGCCTGAGCAACAGAGGGAGACTTTGTGGCCAAAAACAACAAAAAATACTGTTAATGGAGGTTCCCTGGGACTTGATATTTTAAAAATTGTTCTTATGCGTAGTAGATAAATTCAGTGCCATGATGAGGTTAGCTCCCAGATAAACACTTACTTTTTTTTTTTTTTTTTTTTTTTGGTGAGTGGTCCAGAGCTTTAAGCTACTTTTCCAGTGGTTTGTCAACTTCTCCGAGGTAGTTTGGCTGCTCTTTCAATAATGCTCATTGTGTGTCAAACTTTGTCTACAACAGTAGGCAACAGATGAAGATAAGTTGGTTGATACGTCTCTAGCACTGTGCACCCCTGTTTTCTATTTATTGTATATACTCACTTTCAATAATGTGTTTCAAACTGGGATTTTTTAAAAAACAAATGTACGGACCGAAGTTGAAGTAGTAACTTAATAAAGTTAATTTGTTTATTTTTTACACAGTTAGTTTGGTTACTGAAATCTTCCTATATTGCAGCTGGGCTGAGCGCATTGGTGTTTACAACTAATTGATCACAACCAGTTACACATTTATTTGTTCCTTCTCCACTCCCATTGCTTCACTTGACTAGCCTTTAAAAAAAAAAAATCTTCCTGTATTGCTTAAATGTGTATTTGCATAAACAGAGTAAAGCGTTGTTACAGCATTTTATGTCTTTAAAATATCTTCATAGAAACTGATTTTGACACTGGGCACAGTGGCTCACGCCTGTAATCCCAGCACTTTGGGAGGCCGAGGTGGGCAGATCACAGGTCAGGAGTTCGAGACCAGCCTGACCAACATGGTGAAACTCCATCTCTACTAAAAATACAAAAATTATCTGGGTGTGGTGGCCTGCACCTATAATTTCAGCTACTTGGGAGGTTGAGCCAGAAGAATCACTTGAACCCAGGGGGCGGAAGTTGCAGTGAGCCACACTCCAGCCTGGGTAACAGAGCAAGACTCCATCCTCCATCTCAAAAAAAAAAAATACAATTTTCTTTTAACCAGTATTGATCTTCTTCCCTCCTGTAGCTATATAACAACAACCCTCTGGCATTAAACTTCCAATGATAGTGCTATTTGTTTCCTCAGATCAACAAGGGACCTCAGTAATTAGTTCTTTATGTAAGGATATATGTATATTAGTTTGTTTGATAAATCTGTTGAGTACCTGCTTTCTCTCAGATACTGGGTATAGAGTGGTGAAGGATTGATACCAGCCTCGACTCATGAGGAGCCGGGTTGTGCTTTCACACAAGGTAAGCAGTATCTTTCCACTTACAGATGAGCTGTCTGTCCAGAGCATAAGTAGCTTGTATATAGTTACATACCTTTTTTTTTTTTTTGAGACCGAGTTTCGCTCTTGTTACCCAGGCTGGAGTGCAATGGCGCGATCTCGGCTCACCGCAACCTCCGCCTCCTGGGTTCAGGCGATTCTCCTGCCTCTGCCTCCTGAGTAGCTGGGATTACAAGCACGTGCTACCATGCCCAGCTAATTTTTTTGTATTTTTAGTAGAGACGGGAGTTTCACCATGTTGACCAGGATGGTCTCGATCTCTTGACCTCGTGATCCACCCGCCTCGGCCTCCCAAAGTGCTGGGATTACAGGCTTGAGCCACTGCGCCCGGCCGTTACATACCTTTTTATTTTTTTTTTTGAGACGGAGTTTCGCTCTTGTTACCCAGGCTGGAGTGCAATGGCGCGATGTCGGCTCACCGCAACCTCCGTCTCCTGGGTTCAGGCAATTCTCCTGCCTCAGCCTCCTGAGTAGCTGGGATTACAGGCACACGCCACCATGCCCAGCTAATTTTTTGTATTTTTAGTAGAGACGGGGTTTCACCATGTTGACCAGGATGGTCTCGATCTCTTGACCTCGTGATCCACCCGCCTCGGCCTCCCAAAGTGCTGGGATTACAGGCTTGAGCCACCGCGCCCGGCCATACCTTTTTAAATAAGAAAGTGTTTTTGTTTTTGAGACAGAGTCTCACTATGTCATAGGCTGGAGTGCAGTGGCGCTATCTTGGCTCACTGCAACCTCCACCTGCCGGGTTCATGCAGTTTTCCTGCCTCAGCGTCTTGAGTACCTGGGGACTACCAGTACACATCACCACGTCCAGCTAATTTTTTTATTTTTTGGTTGAAGTGGGGTTTCACCATGTTGCCCAGGCTGGTTTCAAACTCCTGACCTTAAGTGATCTGCCAACCCTAGCCTCCCAGAGTGTTGAGATTACAGGTGTAAGCCACTGCACCCAGCCACAAAGTTTTTTTTTTTTAAACGGCAAGGTCATTTAAAGTATTTTAAAAGTAAGACTCAGACATTTTATCTCTGTATACTGTATTCTCTTTTTTTAAAAAAAATTTTATTTAGTTTTAGAGACAGGGCTCCCTGTGTTGCTCAGGCTGATCTCAAACTTCTGGGCTCAAGCTATCCTCCTGCCTCGGCCTCCCAAAGTGTTAGGATTACAGGCCTTAGCCACTTTTGATGTCTGACCTGTATTCTCTTTTGATGGAAATAGGAACCCATACTTTATCACTCCTTTTATAAATGCCAGCCAGGTACAGTGGCTCACACCTATTTTCTTAGCACTTTAGAAGGCCAAAGCGGGTGGATTGCTTGAGCCTAGGAGTTTGAGACCAGACTGGGCAACATGACAAAACCCCATCTCCCCAAAAAATACAAAAATTTAATATTGGGACGGATGCAGTGGCTCACACCTGTAATCCCAGTACTTTGAGAGGCCAAGGCGAGTGGATCACATGAGGTCAGGAGTTCAAGACCAGCCTGGCCTGCAAAGCCCCAGGATCCATTTGTTAACCCTCAGATGACCACGGTGTTGGTTATATAAAGGGAACATTGGAGTTAACTATTAAGACACTATTAGTAAACTTTTGAAAATGGCACCTGGCCAGTCAAATCTGAGGGGAAATCTGGGGTTGCTGGATATGATTTTTCTCTTCTTGGGAGGATCCTTCAAAGAGAAATTGTCCTTGATTTTTACCTGATTGAGAACATGAAGTTTGTAGCTACCTCTGCCATCTTTTCACTATGAGGAAGAGCCAAGATAATTCAGAGAAGCCAGATCAGGATTCTAATATCATTCAGGGTGAATGAACCAACCCTTTAGTTGCCAACTTTGCACTTCTGGTTATGTGAGATAACAGACTTCTAGTGTTGAAGCCACTTTTAGTCAGGTATCAGCCACCTTTCTGCCCCAATCTGAATTGGTTGCCCTCCAGTGTGTTGCACAGCTATAACTACGGAGCTCCCTTGCAGTTATCCTGGGATTTCTCTTCCTCTCTCCTCTTCAGGGCCTGCTATTTCCTAAATTTTTGGCTTCCTCTTATTTTGATGTGCTCTCTCAAAATGCCAGAGCAAATCCACTAGTGGCTTCCTAAGAAAGGGCTAGTGAGAGAGAATTTTTTTTTTTTTTTGAGTCGGAGTGTCACTCTGTTGCCCAGGCTGGAGTGCAGTTGTACGATCCTGCCTCACTGCAACCTCCACCTCCAAGGTTCAAGCAATTCTCCTGCCTCAGCCTTCCAAGTAGCTGGGACTTGTAGTCCAGCCTGTGGCACGTGCCACCACACTTAGTTTCACCTGCAAGTACTAAATCCTATATCACCTTAGCTGTTACTGCTTCCCCGCAGTTTTTCTGGAGTTCCTGAGGATGGAGACACACACACACACACACACACACACACACGGAGTGGAATGATTATATAGTTGACCCTCTGAACAACGTTGGTTTGAACTGCATGGGTTCACTTATAAGTGTTTTTTTTTTTTTTAATTTACACCACATGTGCCAGCCTCTCCTGCCTCCCCTTCCATCCCCTTCCAACTCCTCTACCTCTTCTACCCTTAAGACCAACCCCTTCTCTCCCTCCTCCTGCCTCAGCCTGCTGAGTAGGGGGGACTACAGGCACGTAACACCACACCTGGCTAATTTTAGTACTAATTTCTAGAACTTCAGAGACTAGATTAGGAAACTGAGTTTAGCCCCAAGTTTAGAACTTCCTTAAAATTGGCTGGGCGTAGTGGCTCACGCCTGTAATCCAAGCACTTTGGAGGCCAAGGCGGGCAGATCACCTGAGGTCGGGAGTTCAAGACCAGCCTGATCAACATGGTGAAACCCGATCTAAAAAAAAACAAAAGGAACTTCCTTAAAATTTAGCATAAACCAATGAGCACCCTGGCAAAGGGAAATCAACACTGAATTTTTTTTTTTTCTGAGACGGAATCTGGCCCTGTTGCCCAGACTGGAGTACAGTGGCACAATCTTGGCTCACTACAATCTCTGACCCTCAGTTCAAGCAATTCTCTGCCCCAGCCTCCTGAGTAGCTGAGATTACAGGCACCTGCTACCATTCCTGGGTAATTTTTTTGCATTTTTAGTAGAGATGGGGTTTCACCATGTTGGCCAGGCTGGTCTTTAACTGACCTCAGGTGATCTG